TGGAATACAGAATACTAATACCAAATCCTCTCTTACCAACTTCAAGTAAACAAAAGTAAGTACAATATTAAGTATTTTTCAGATATTTCTCCATATTTTCATTACTCTTATTATCATTATTATCATTATCACTATTATTAGTAGTAGAAGTATGTTGTCAATTTTATTTTTATAATCATCGTCAGTATTATTATCACTATTATTAGTAGTATCATTATCATTATTACCATTATTAGTAGCAGTAGTAAAAATAGTTATCACATTATCCTCAGTATAATCAATAACAATAGATGAAAATATTTGCTATTCAACTAATCCGAAAAAAAAATCTGTGTTGAGTAAGAGCAAAAAGTAGTTTCCTGATTCATCTTTAAACTCTATTTTGACGTTCTCGAAGAGGAAATATTGTCCCAAAATTGTATTTCTCGAATTGTAAATAAGTCTAACCGTCCATCAGCTGTTTGATGTCGACGGTTTACATCCAGAAAAAGAAGTGATCTAACGGACCAAAAAATTTGTTTAGAGTATTGTTCCTCAAGTTTGATTTCGTATTCCTAAAGGGGAAAATATTGGTGCAAAACGATTTATTTTCCTAGGACTAGCACTGGCACATAGGCGTTTAAAGTTGAGTTGTATTATGGAGTATAAATGTAATATCGATATAGCTTTTTTTTCTTTCGTTGGGGAGCGGGAGGATATATTTTCAAAAATTCCGTTTCAATTCAGATTTAAGTTATATAATCAGATTTGTATTCTATGATTTGTTTGGAAAATCTTACGATCTTACTAAAAGCAGTAGTATTTTCTGAAATCTCGATTAGCCAATATATCGAGCCATGTTTTTTTTTTTTTTTTTTTTTTCGAAAGATTCAAATGCGTACTGGGTTCGTTTCCCACCGAGTGTCGTTCACATCTCTCGACAGTTTTGCTTCAGGAAGGCCAGATCAGTAGCAACTCGGTGTCATGGCGTCTGTTTTGATAATTGTTCAATGAAAATATAACCATTAAAATCATTATTTTCCATCCTTTTGAAGAGACCGAAATGATCGACCATATTCACAAAGCATCCGTGACTTTTGTGACGTCATCAAAATAAACCCCATGTTTTTTTTTTTTTTTTCAAAAATAGAATCAGACGCCATGACACCACCTCGAGTTGCTACTGATATACCCTTTCCCGCTTTTTGCTTCTCGTGTTGCCATCTCCCGTTTTTCTTTTTCTTTTTTTTTTCTTTCTTTTCTTTTCTTTTCTTTCTTGATTCCACCTTTCTCCCGCAACCCTAACCAAAGTCGCGCCCTTGCAGATGCACGCAGCCATTCTGAAGGCGACGCTCCTGGCGGTGCTGCTGGGCGTGAGTGCCGCTCGGCCCGACAAAGCCCCCGTGGGCGCGGCCGGAGCGCCAGTAGGAGCGGCGGGCGCCACGCCGAACCAGAGGTTCCTTCCGGGACTCGACCACCTCCTCTTGAAGCCCTTCCTCGGACTCTTCGGCGGAGGACTTGGCGGAGGCTACGGAGGAGGCTACGGTGGAGGCTACGGAGGCTACGGAGGAGCTTTGGAGGACTTGGGACTAGGAGAGCTACGGAGGAGGTTACGGAGGCTACGGAGGCTACCCCTCCGGAGGATATGGCGGGTACCCTGGCGGAGGATATGGCTACAGCGGGGGCTACTCTCCCTACTATGGCTGAGCGAGAAGCTGTTGACGACGAGGAAGTCTGATCTATACATACATCTCTATATCTATATCTATCTATCTAACTATATATATTATAGATAATATAGATATGTACGTGTGATATGTATTGCAGTGTGATTACTAATATTATTAATAATTTATAACCGAGTGTAAAAGAGTTATATGAGAATGTGTGTTGGAACAAAAGGGGCACAAAACGGCCTCTGGAAGTCCATGCGTAAGATTGTCAGGAAATATATTTATATGAACATGTCTGAAACTCGTTTTTGTTGTCATCCTACGGAACTCAGGCGTGAGACAGGAGTAATTCTATAATTCTTATGTAAGACTGCATCTCTCTCTCTCTCTCTCTCTCTCTCCCTCTCCATCATTCTCTCCCCTATCCCTCTCCTTCTCTCTATCTCATTCTTCCGATCTCCTCCCTCTCCCTCTCATTCTCCCTTTCTCCCTTTCTCCCTCTCTCTCATTCTCCCTTTCTCCCTCTCCCTCTCATTCTCCCCTCTCTCCTCTCATCCCTCTCCTCTCTTCTCCTTTCTCTCTCTCTCTCCTTCTCCCTTCCTCCCTCTCTCTCCTTCTTCATCCTCCCATTCTCCCCCACCTCTCTCTCTCTCTCTCACATTCATCCTACCTCCCTCCCCCTCTCTCTCCCTTCCCATCTTCCTCCGCCCTACTGCCCTCTCGCTGCCTCACCTAAACCCAAGAGCAGGATTTCCCGTCAGGAGGATGAGGCGAGAGTCACGCCCCAGGAATCCAAAGCAGAACTTTCACTGCGTCTCCCTCGGTGGCCTGCGCCCCTTGCATGTGCAGGCAGAGCGTGTCACTTGCTTTGCCTTCACCTCAATCGGGTGTCTTGCGCTTCCTGTGAGCACGTATATACTGTGTGTGTGTGTGTGTGTGTACATATATATGTATCTGTATGCATATACACACACTCATAAATAGACTATATGTATATGTATGTATATATATATATATATATATATATATATATATATATATATATATATATATAAATTATAACATTTATACACACACACACAACACACATACACACACACAACACACACACACACACACACACACACACACACACACACACACACACACACACACACACACACACATATATATATATATATATATATATAATATATATATATATGTGTTGTGTGTGTGTGTGTGTGTGTGTGTGTGTGTGTGTGTGGTGTGTGTGTGCAAATACGAGCACGTAAGCATCCACACCCACTCAGACCCGGTAGAAAATCATCCTTGTCTGGAAAATTGCTGATCAACACATTTTCTATGTTTCGTCTTAGAGAAATCTTTCCAGGAAATATTACTCTGGCGCCGTTTGTCATTTTTTTCCTTTGAAAAGATGACGTATATGTTCAAAATAGAATAATGATGATAATGAACATATATTGATAGAAATTACATGATGATGGATGAAGATGATGATGAAGATGATGATGATGATGATGATGATGGTGATGATGATGATTGCAAAAAAATGAAAATGGAGATGAAGAGGAAAATTGATAATGATGATGATGATGATGAAAATGATGAAGATTAAAATGATCATGATAATAATAATAATAATAATAATATTAACAATAAAGCCAAAAATGATAACAACAACAGCAAGAAAAGCATGACCAAAATCCTTCAGGCAGAATTCACCTTCACTCTCTCCTTCTTCTGGGTGTCCGAGGTCGCCTGTCTGGACCCGGGCCAAGGTCAGCGGACCACTTTTTTTTCTCTCTCTCGTCTGGGTTTTTTGGCGGGTTTTTCTTTGTTTTGGGTCTGTGTTTGTTTTGTTTGGCGGGTTTTTTCTTTGTTTGGGTCTGTGTTTGTTTTGTTTGGCGGGTTTTTTCTTTGTTTTGGGGCTGTGTTTGTTTTGTTTGGCGTTTTTTTCCTTTGTTTTGGGTCTGTGTTTTGTTTTTGGCGGTTTTTTTTTTTTGGGCTGTGTTTGTTTTGTTTGGCGGTTTTTTTTCTTTGAATTGGGTCTGTGTTTGTTTGTTTGGCGGTTTTTTTTTCTTTTGGGTCTGTGTTTGTTTTGTTTGGCGGGGTTTTTCTTTGTTTTGGGGCTGTGTTTGTTTTGTTGCGGTTTTCTTTGTTGGTCTGTGTTTGTTTTGTTTGGCGGGTTTTTATTTTGTTTTGGGTCTGTGTTTGTTTTGTTTGGCGGGTTTTTCTTTGTTTTGGTCTGTTTGTTTTGTTTGTGGGTTTTTCTTTGTTTTGGGTTTGTGTTTGTTTTGTTTTTGGTTTGGTGGTTTGTTTTTTGTCTTTTGGGTCTGTGTTGTTTTGTTTGGCGGGTTTTTCTTTGTTTGGTCTGTGTTTGTTTTTTGGCGGTTTTTCTTTGTTTTTTCTTTGTTTGTTTTGTTTTGTTTGGTTTTTTCTTTGTTTTGGGTCTGTGTTTGTTTTGTTTGGTGGGGTTTTTTTTCTTTGTTTTGGTTCTGTGTTTGTTTTGTTTTGGTGGTTTTTTTCTTTGTTTTGGTTCTGTTTGTTTTGTTTTTTGTTGTTGATATGTTGCTGTTTTTATTCTTATCATTATGTTTTATTCTTATCTGTTGATCTGGACGTTTTCAATGTTTTCAAAGTTCGCGAAACAAAGCGCGTTCGTGTAAAAGCTATACCATTATTACATTTCTTCATAAACATACGAAAAGCGTGGATAATTTCCGTACGTAACAATGAATGGATTATTATATACATTATGTCATAACTTTCTTTTTTGTTGTTGTTTTTTTATCTAAACAACAAAAATCTTAACAAGTTTCATTGCCCGACATAATTTTGTCTGCATTAATCTTATTTGACTAAGCTCCTCAGTAATGATATTTATATAAAGGACTTGATGTTAAAAAGTGAAAAGGATAAAAGAGAGAAGGTGAAAAGTGTAATAAGTTCATTTGTAGATTTCAAATCTGCATAAAATAGACGTCCTCAGTAATGATACTTATATAGTGTGAAAAATATATGGTAACAAGTGGAAAGTTGATATTAGAAGAAAGGAGGAAGACCGAGAGGGGAAACGTAATTAGTTCATTTAGATCTGAGTAATGTAAACCCAATTAATTAAAACGGGGAAAGTTAAAACAAACATACAATGTGAATTTATAAAGCAGGCACATACTCACTGATACGCATTCTATATATAGTTGATCTCAAAACGGGTTTATCTATATTTCAACACCACAAAGGCAGTGTTGCTATAATTCATTTATTTGCCTTGTTTTGTTTGATTAACTGGATGTACTTTTATGTTTTAAATGAGAAATCTACAGATTAACCTACAGATTTCTATATTTTCCTTTTTTTAGTGAGCACAATTACCATCGCAACTGAGATTGATATAATTTCGTGTTACACTACTCAGGGATCTTGTGTGTAAAGTAGTCTGCGGAACATAAACATTGCACTATATCTCTCATTGGTTTTATTAATGAAATTACATCTAGTATATAGCTTAATTTACATACCAGTATCACTCTAAATTGGAAGGTGAGGGGCGGGACACCACTTCTACCCCCTCCCCCACACTCTTCAGCTTTCGAGGACATTCCCTGTAAACAATCGGTGCAGTTCCTTACTTACTCAGCTGTTGGAGAACACTGACCCCTATCGCCCTCATTCTTCCTATCTCCTTCTCCCTCTTCCTCTCATTCTCCCTTTCTCCCTCTTCCTCTCATTCTCCCTTTCTCCCTCTCCCTCTCTCCCACATTCATCCTACACCGACAGCGACAACTGTCTGGTGTTCAAAATGAAATAACTGTCATGTCAAGTTGAAATAAAAATGTCTGTCATTTTTTAGTGCAAAATTAATGAGTTTTATACCTTTAAAACTGCAAAAAATAGCCCCCGCCCCCGGCTAATTTGGGGGGATCGCCGAATTTGCCCCCCCCCCCCGTCACTTCTTAGGCCAATAGGAATACAAACGTAATTTCGGTTAGGATACTTACCTGCAAATCTCCCACTCACCACTCATTCATGTATGGTATAACCTTGATTGTGGATTGGGGTTACATCAATAACTGAAAACACACACCACAACCACACTCTCACTCACACTCAACTACTCTAATCCACTTCCTTCACGCTCTTAACTGCTCTGCTCTTTTTTATTACCTTTACTCTTATTTGACCAGACGACAACACTA